TTAAAAAATTAATATAAAAAGAGAAAAATGGAACGTTTCTTCGTGAATAACTCTTTGAAAAAATGTTTCTATCATTTGCCGTTTTGTTCATGGTTCGGCGCGTCAAAAGTTCTTTCTACAAAGTATTCATCATCTTTGCATAAAAATTTCGTCTTCATGCCGGAAAATTGAAATTAGTGACTCTCTGAAGCTCAAAATGGAACTCGTTTTTTTTTTTGGTCAAAATGTTTTTCGTTCCGGTCGAGCTTTGTTGGGCAAAACGTTAAGTACGTGTTGGAAAATTGCATTCGTGTCTTATTTCACTCAAAATTCAGTTACTTATCTTGAAAATTCACATTTACAGGTTAGTAAAAATAGGGTTTTTCGCAATTTTTTTTATAAGACTGCGAAAAATTGTTGAAAACTTCCAAAAATTTGTGGGGTGGTACTCTAGTTGTTGCTCTTTATGATGCAACAAACCGCACTGAGCTATCTAGCGCTGAAAAATTTTTATAGGTATTCTAAAAAGTAAGCTAAAAATAAAAAAAAACTGGTTATTGACTCAACTTTGAGACTTCATAACTCTTTGAAAAAAAATAGTATAGAGTTTAAAAAGTGTTCAGTAGTTAGCTCTTAGAAAGTTCAGTGCGGTTCAGTTTGGGTTTTATGCTGCTTTCAGCCAAAAAAAAATTATGGCCATTTTTGAAGGCTCATAACTTTGATAAAACTTTTTCGATATCCAAAAAAAAACAGCATTACAGGTAACTCAAAGTGTGCTAAGTCTAGATAGAAGCAAAAAATGAATTCAGTCAGCGAAAAAAAAAACGTTTTTGGCTTTAAACTTGGTTTCAACTGAAAATTGTGCTTTTCAGTGCAAATTTTGATCGCCTATTACTTGACAAAAAAAAAGTAAACTGACTCAAAAAATGTGGAGGTCTTTAACAAGGTGTAAACAAGAACTGGTTACATGGGTTTGGCGATTTTGCAGTTGAAAAAAAAGTTAGGGGCCTTCAAAAAAGCTAGAAATCACAAAAAACGCGTTTTTTTGCACTTTTGAGGACACTTAACTAAAAGAGATTTCCAGATATATCAATAATTTTCATATCAAGTGTTCACCATAGCCAGGTCTACACTGTGACGAACTTTCATCAAAAACCAAAAATTCAAAAAAAAGTTAGAGGTCCTCAAACTTGCACAAAAAATGGATTTTTTGAAATTTTTAGCATTTTTGAGCTTGATAACTCATCGAGTTTTACTTAAAACAACACAAAAAAGGTGACAATGCTCAAAAACTGTAGAGTAACATTCAATCAAAAAAAATCGGCTCAATTGCATTGGTTGATTCAGAATTCTCTTTCAAAAATTGCTAAAAATCGAAATTTTCGTTTTTTTTGGCAATTTTTGAGGATCTGTAACTCATTAAAAAAAACCATCATAATTTTGATGTCAAAGCTTAACCAACTGCATGACAACAGAATGACTTATTTTGAGCATTATTCATAATTTAGAAAAAAAGTTAGTCCTCAAATTTGCAGCAAAATCAGTTTACAGTTTTTACTGATTTTTTTCGCGTTTTTTGAGTACCTCTAACTCAAAGACCACTTGAGATATCTTGAAGATTTTGATGATAACGATTAGTCACATTTTGTTCTCCACTATGACACAGTTTAAAAAATTAATATAAAAAGAGAAAAAAGTTACAGGTCCTCAAAATTGTAGCAAAATGGACTGTTTTCGAAATTTGTCAATTTTTTAGCAAACTTTGAAGATACATAACTCAGAAAATACTAGCAATAAAATATTGAATTTTGGATATGTTGTTACCGTAGCAAAGATCCATTGTTGAGCAAAGGTTAAAACACTTGAAAAGCTAAATTAGAAAAAACTCATTAGAGCTCCCCATATTTGCAAAAAAAAGAGATAGCTTAGAAAACTCGTTATTTGTCCTCCATCATGCAAAAAGTAATAACAAAATTAAAAATATTTTTTTTGTTACAGGATTACTGTTACTGGATCTCAGTGTACCGACAAACCTCTTATCAATCAACATTGCCGACAATGGTTTTTCTCCTAGGAGCTAGTTCATTATCTGCTTATAATACGTTGAGTTACAGAACAAAAAAAATTTACAAGGGATCTTTCTTTGCGGCGCCCTGTTTGTCATTTAACCACAAAGATAAAATTAAAAATGTAAATTATCTGCTTCAAAAGGAGCATGGAAAGCTGAAGCGAAAAAACGATATAGTGAAATGGCATGATGTAATAAACAATTCCATAACTCCACATAAGAGCAACAACAACATCGGTCTGACAACAGAAGAACTAACTCAGATGTTGCTAAGTCAAAAAGACAAAATAAATTCCATCATTTACTGTCAAAGAATTGCTACTAACAACATTTTTAAGTCCCTTCTGAAAACAAAAATACTGGTTATTGACGCTAAAAAAAATTTTTTTTTCGCACAGAAACAGCCAAAATTCCTTTATTTGTTTCCAATTTCAACAAATCCATCCGTGCAAAAAATTGGAATCAAAACTTATGCTGATTGTATGGACCAAAAGGAATAACCTCAAAAGCCTAGTCTACAAGTCCAAAAAACTTAAACCCTCGAAAAAGGAAAGGAAAAAAATCAGGTAAAGGAAGTCGTTAAAAAAAACAAGCCATCGAAAAGAGAAAGGGAAAGAAAGAAAAGACAAGCTTCGCAAACAGAGTGAACAAGAAAAGCATTACAGATGACAGAAGAACCTGTAAGGTTACAGGTGGTTGTGTGTCTATAGTTTTCAAAACTAATTTCAGTGTATTTTTAGGGCTCACAGAAGGAAGAGGAAGACGATTGGATCAACTGTTTTTTATGTCCCATTTTTAAATTAATTATGTTCTTTGTTTATCTTTCGCAGCTGTGATGAAAAAAACGACTCTCAAAGAAATCTTAGGTCTAAATAAACACAAAACTAAATAGCAATAAACGTACAATTTTCCTCAATTATCTCGATTTCAAACTAACATTTTAAATGCAATCATTTTTCTTAATGCTGAGAAGTCAAACAGTGTGTTTGTTTTTTCAATTTCATTTTTTCTTAATTTTCTTGTTTTTTTCTAGGAATTGTCCAATCATTTAATGTTTGCTTTTTTTCTGCTGGTTTGTTCTTCTGTCAGTTTTTTCTTTGTTTTAATTGATGGTCCATATTGTTTGTTTTCGTTTTGTTCTTCTAGGATTCATCCTATTGATTGGATTTTGCTTAATGTTATCACTTTGCTTAGTCTTTTGATAGTTTTTTTGTTAGTATGGTTCTTCCAGAATTGTTCAAAAAAACCATTGTTTTTTCGCTAGATGATGTCATGTTTGCTTAGTTGAGTGATCGGGTGAGTGGTTTATAACTTTGTGCCTCCATAAGCCTTAGTTGTGCTAGGAGGGGCTTAGTTGTCTACAATTCATCCTTTACAGTTGATTGTTGTTGTTGCTGCCGTATAATGATTTTGATCACTTGACTTTGTGCCTCCATAAGCCTTAGTTGTGCTAGGAGGGGCTTAGTTGAGTGATCGGGTGAGTTGTTTATGACTTTGTGCCTCCATAAGCCTTAGTTGTGCTAGGAGGGGCTTAGTTGTCTACAATTCATCCTTTGAAGTTTATTGTTCTGGTTGCCGTATATTGATTAGATCACTTGACTTTGTGCCTCCATAAGCCTTAGTTGTGCTAGGAGGGGCTTAGTTGAGTGATCGGGTGAGTTGTTTATGACTTTGTGCCTCCATAAGCCTTAGTTGTGCTAGGAGGCGCTTAGTTGTCTACAATTCATCCTTTGCAGTTGATTGTTGTTGTTGCCGTATATTGATTGTTTGTTTTGTTTCCCTATTGTTTGTTTTGTTCTACGATTCGTTTTACTGATTATTTTTTGCCTTGTTTAGGTTCTGTTGTATATATCTTGTCGTTTCTTCTTAGATCATTTATATGACTTAGTTGTCCTTTTTGTGTTTTGTTTTCCTATTCTAAAACTCATTTCAATCATTTTTTTCGCTGTCTGTTATCCTTTGTTCATTTTTTTTGTTTTTCTTCTTTGTATTGTTCTTCTAGAATTTGTTCCCTCGAACTTTTTCTAGTTTTCGGGTGCTGATGTCTTTATTATTTATCTTCTTCTTTGTTTTGTGTTAAAATTTCATTATCTATATGACATGCGTCAATTCTTTTTTTCGTTCCATTGTTTTATTTGATTCATATTTATTTTTGCTTAATTATAGTTTTCACCTTGGTGTATTTTGCCTTTATTTTTTTTGACCACTCAGCATTAGAATAGTTGATTGCATCGAAGAGGTTGCCTTTTCTTTGAGATAATAGAGGACTTTTGTATGTTTTACTGCTAGTTTGTGCTGTGTTGAAATAGACTTCAGAGTGCTGTTTGATGTCTAATCAAAATTCTGAGCTGCATTTCTAAAACCTGCATTTTTATTACTGCGTTTTTTAGCCTTTTTGAAGGCTCATAATTTTGCAAAAAAAGTTCCAAAAAAGCAAAATTTCACGTAACCAAAGGTGTTCAGCATAAATCTCTACAAAAAGAATCAATTCAGTCATCCGATTTTTTTTAGAGAGAATTGAAATTCCGATCAAAACTTGATAAAACATGAACCGATCAAAAATTGACATGAACAACCTAAAACAGAAATTCGCAAGAGCCACGTTTGAGACAACGGCGAGAAAGTTTATATTCAAGGACGATTTGACGAAAATATACGTGGGAGATGCCGGTCACAAGAGGATGGGTCTCTTTGCCCGAAAAAGAATTGAGGAGGGAGAGTTTGTGTGCGCATACTGGGGGAGGCTTGTAACAAGACAAGAATATGACAAATAGAAACAAGCAGGAAAAAACGACTACTGTTTCACAGACCGAAAAGTAGTATTCATAGACGGCACAAACCCTGAAAAAAGTGGACTGGCAAGGTTCATGAATGATAATCATTGAAATCTGAACCTTGTCGTGAGGCGCCTAATACAAAATGCGAGAAGCCATGTCGTTTTCAAGGCGTGCAGACAGATTGAGGAAAACGAAGAGCTGGAATACAACTATGGAGACGAGATGGCACCCTGGAGAAGCTGTAGAAAATGTACGACGAGTCGAGAAAACTATCAAAGTGAGAGTGAAGAAGAACCTCCATTAACCTTGGAAATTTTACGCGCTGAGCAGAAACAGTGCGCCGAAGAAGGGCAAAAAGCGAGCGGATCTCAGATTGTACATACCCTAGTTTCGGAGACGAGTGGAAGTGAGGAAGAAGTGATATCAGAAGAAGGATCAATGATACCGCCACCATTGATCAAAAGACCAATCACCGAGCTGAGTCTCGCAGCCAGCTTCGGGTTCAACAGTGAAGACAGTAGTGATGGAGAGCCAGAGGAGGATGAGCCCATTATTGCAGATGAAAAAGCCAAAGAAAAGCCGCTCTACCTCACAAAGCGATTCAAGACTGTGGAAGAGATACCGGAGAAGAGATCTAAACAGAAGGAAACAACATCAAAAATATCAGAACCGTTCGTTTTCACCCGGAAAGCAAAAGAATGGCACTGCTTTTCATTTGACTTTCCATTGTCGTGCCCCGAGGAAATAAAGCCTCATAGGTTTTCCTGCGAAAACGCGAAAAGATATTTTCCGGGGAATGAATTCTCTTTCAAAATGACAGGAAACGACCAGTATCTAATTTGTATGGGATGCTATGCCATTTCCTGCAAACCTCAATTCCCGGCTTTCAAGAAGCATATTATCGAGGAGCAAGGTGGGATGAGTGGTGAGAATTGGTGCCCACTAGAGTTTCCCCGAGAAACACCTCGGGAAAGAACCACACACCAACTCCGCCAGGAGGAACGACAACAAGATGAAGTTGCAGTAGCCGTCCCTGAGGATAGTTCAAGTTTGGAGGAACAAAGGGGACTATTTTCCTGCAAGATCTGTCCTCAAGGAAACTTCAGTCGAGACCATCATTTGCGCCGTCACTATATGCAGGAGCACCAGTTCTGTGGTCTAGAACTGAATGTTATTCAAAAAATTACCTTACTGCAGAATAGGAACGCAGTGAACTCAAAGAATGAGAAACGGTACGTCTGCTCACTACCAGACTGTCTTCACGTTTTTTCTCAGAGCTGGCGCCACCAAGAACATAGAAAGAACCGGACAGTAGTAAGAACCTAGGAGGATGTATCAAAGATCCTCAAGAAGCAATTGAAGCCACTCCCTGGACATCCGAACGAAATCGAAAACGATGACATGATAAGAGGACCCATCAATTTCGACAGTAGTTAGCGAGAATTTAAAGAACAAAAACTTCAAGCAGAATGAAGGGTCACTTTTCACTGAGGAGAATATAAATACAAAACTGCAGCTAATCCGGGAATGCCTCGTACTAAGTGAAGGCTTTAAAGACATGAGCAAAATAGCAGTTTGGGTAAACTCATACGAAAGCATAGCAAGACCAGTCAAAACTGCTAAGGCGAAGCAAAATCTATTGACTGAACTGCAGAAATTTGCAGAGTTTCTTCTCGTCTAATACGGCCGGAAACAACAAGTTGTCGAGTTTGACATCTTGTTACAAGAGATAAGAGATCGAAAAAAACGTACTGAATAAGTCTGCAAAAGGCAGAAAACATCTCTATAATTACGCGGAGGGAAACTCACTGCCAACAATGGAGGAGCTGAGTGCAGTTAGAGAAAATGTCACTCACTATCTAGAAACTGAGTTGGAGGAACAAAATATAGACGCAGTGCAATTCAGGAAAATCCAGCACAACATAATAGCACTTTTGTGCATGCGCACGTTAGCTCGAGCAGGCACCATCATTAAAATGAGAGCAAGCTACTTGCGGGAAATTGAAGTAGACGAAGCCAACGGCCTATATAGAATCGCTCTCATGCGGCCTGAGATCCAGGATATAAGAACCGGGAAAGGACAGAATAGGAGGATCAACTTGATTCATCGCCAGGTGCTGGAGAGCCACAAAAATTTTAAATTTGATGGAGAGAAGTACCTGACGATAAAGAAGACAGACTTTAAGATCCTCGAAAAGTACCTGAACCTGAGGTCCCTCTTTCAACTTGATTCTTCGGACTGGCTTTTTGCACCACTGGACTCTAGCATAACGGAGATAACAAAAGAAGCAGTAGTATCCAGAATGAAGAGCTACACTCGTACAGTGCGAAAGCAACATAACGTTCCCAACTTCGACGCCAACGGATTCCGCAAGGCAGTCAACTCGCACTGGGCGGAGACTGTAGATGACCCTAGAGCTATCCAGGCACTTGACCAACAGATGGGGCATTCACGAGCAGTTGCTGTGCAACAATACGAAGTTGCGCAGAACAAAAAGCGCAACAGTGCGTTCATGACGACTTTGTTGGACAGGGATCTCACAGCTGTAGTTGACAAAAAGCCAAGAGAACAATTGGCTCTTGAAATCTCAATAAAAAGAGACGATGAGGACGACGCCAGCGAGGGCGAAGTCAGCGATGCCTCGGAAGACAGCCATTCTAGCGACTCATCGACTAAAGACAACAGAATGATAGAACTCCCCAGTGAAAAAGAAATTTCACTCTTCATCAAGAAACGAAAACAGAGAACAACGCAGAAGTACATATTAGATGATGAGGGACGAAATTATCTTGCTCAAGTTTTTTTGAAAAACTTGTTAGAAGAGAACTTTAATTTGAGCAGAGCCATCACGAGAAGTGAAGTTCCTGGCTTCAACTTGAAACTTGATCAGGTCAGGGTCATTTTCAAACAAATAAGTGACTGGATAAAAAAAGGATCTGAAAAATATTGAACAAAAACTCTCGTTCCCTAAAATCTCTGTAAGTCCAAACTATCGTTCCGTAGAAATTCTGTTCCTTAAAAGCTATGTTACAACCCTGTACACTTGTTAAACCCTTTGTTAAAGCATTGTAAAACCATTTTTTTACCACTATGTTCTTGCAAGAACTCATAGCTAGAAAACCAAGGTCACAACAAATGAATTTCCAGGTAAACAAAGAAGTGTGTGAAAAAAAAACTGAGAGATTGAAACAAAGCTCACAAATTGTTCAGGCGCCATTTTAAAGTTGACTTCTTAATGTTTTCATTGTTGCGTACTATATGACATTTAATTCTGCTTTCAAATACCGAAAATTATGATAGTTCGTTATTTTTTGTTGACTTAAAATTTCCGATAAATACAGTTAATTTACGTATGACCTTGGTATTTCGTGCTGTAATTTTTTCGTGCAGTATATTGATTAGATCACTTGACTTTGTGCCTCCATAAGCCTTAGTTGTGCTAGGAGGGGCTTAGTTGAGTGATCGGGTGAGTTGTTTTTGACTTTGTGCCTCCATAAGCCTTAGTTGTGCTAGGAGGGGCTTAGTTGCCTACAATTCATCCTTTGCAGTTTTGTTGCCGTATATTGATTTTGATCACTTGACTTTGTGCCTCCATAAGCCTTATTTGTGCTAGGAGGGGCGTAGTTGAGTGATTGGGTGAGTTGTTTTTGACTTTGTGCCTCCATAAGCCTTAGTTGTGCTTGGAGGGGCTTCGTTGCCTACAATTCATCCTTTGCAGTTGATTGTTGTTGTTCTTGCCGTATATTGATTTTGATCACTTGACTTTGTGCCTCCATAAGCCTTAGTTGTGCTAGGAGGGGCGTAGTTGAGTGATTGGGTGAGTTGTTTTTGACTTTGTGCCTCCATAAGCCTTAGTTGTGCTAGGAGGGGCTTAGTTGCCTACAATTCACTTTTTGCACTTATTTGTTGTTTAACAACTATATTATAAAAAAAGAGAAAGCCTTGGCTTCGAAAAAAAAAGATGAGAACTTCAAGTTCCAAAAAAGAGAAAGCTTTCTCACAAAAAAAGAAAACTAGGCCAAAAAAAGTTTTTGGGACCGATGGTGCCCGCTTCCCCGTTGGCGCTCCTGGAGAGCCCTGTACAAAAACAGGGTGAACTGAGAGGCACCAAAAAATAATCCAACTCGAGTAATTCATTTAACTATTTATTATTTATATCTTTTTTTTTTCAAATTTAATTGTTACCTAAGATTTCATAGATGTAATTATTTGTCATAAATTTTCCTCTGATATCAACATTGGTCTCAATTGTAGAAAATTTTAACACTCTTTCAACAATAAAACTTTTTTGCTAGGCTGACTTAAATTTAAAAAAATAAGACTCCCAGAGAAAAAATTGGATCTTAATTTTTTATTGTTTATCTAAGCTCTTACAGACGCAGTAATTTGTCTTTCTTGTTCCTCTGAGATCAATATCATGTAATTTGCCTTGATTGCAACCTTTCATGAGAAAAGTTTTTTTGGCTAGAGTCAGTTAAAGAAAAAATTTATTAGCAGAGAAAGTTTTGATTTTGAAGTTTAAGGTTATCTAAGCAAAAGAATAGGCCTTATTTTGCCCTTAATGTTCCTCTAGAAAAAATATCAAGTTTAATTGCTGAGTTTCGGACAAAATAAACGAGGTTTCATGCAAAAAAAAAGTTTTGCTAATCTGAAACACCTTCGGGCTAACTTTAAAAAAAGATTTTGACGAAATTAAATTCCGAGTTTTTAAACAATATTGGTATCATTGGAAAGCTTAATAACACATCATTTCAACCAGATAGTCCTGCTAAACCCAAAAAAAATGAAAACAAATAAAAAAACGCCAAAGAAACAAAAAAACCTCGTTTGAGTTCAAACTTTACAAAAATGTTTGGTCCAGTGAAAGGAGCCATAGGGTAAATATATCTTGCTGGTTGTTTCAAATTAGGGTTATAGATGTCTAGCAAAAATATATCGGTCATTTTTACTCGAATAACAGTGATACTTCACTCATAGAGTGGATATGAGCTCTGAAAAATGAAAAAAAAAATTAAAAATCAGCTTAGAGCTAACTTAAAAGTTTTACTTCGAGTTTTGAAATTAAATTGGTATCGTTGGACAGCCTTATAACACATCAATTCAACCCGATAGGCCTGAGATAGGCCAAAAAACAAAAAAAAAGATTTAAAAAAGCCAAAAATACGAAAAAAACCTCAGTTGAAATCAAACTTTACAAAAAACTTTTGTCTAGTGAAAACAATCATAGAATTATCATACCTTGCCGGTTCTTTCAGGTTACGGCTGTAGATGTCTAGCACATTCATAGCAGTCAATTTTACTTGAATAACTGTGATATTTCACTCATAGAGGGCATGTGAGCTCAGAAAAACGAAGAAAATTCTTAAAAACCATTTTAGGGCTAACTAAAAAAAATGTTTGAACAAGTTATATATCGAGTTTTAAAACTTTATTGGTATCGTTGGAAAGCCTGATAACACATCTTTTCAACGCGATAGGTCTGATTAATTCAAACAAACGAGAACAAATCAGAAAAACGCCAAAATTACGTTTTTCTGATTTGTTCTCGTTTGTTTGGATTAATCAGACCTAATCAGACATCAATTTAAACGTCCAAACTGAGCTCAGCAAAAACACCACAAAAACTACCATAGTGCTTAGCCCTATTTTTAAAAACCTGTTTTTCATGACTAAAATTTCAAACCAAGACATAGCTGGACGTTAAATGCTGTTGTAAGTCCATTCCCGATGTCAATTTGCCAAATTTTGGCCATCTAGGTACATGCGCAGGCATTTCAAAAAAAAATTCACTCAGGGTTCCATGTTCACAAAAACCACCAGCGCGCAGGATTTTAATATGGATACTGGAAATCAAATTAATCCAACCCCAAGTACGGAAATCACTCATAATGCCAGCCAAGCAAAATCTTCTATTGTCATAACTAGCGAAAACTCCCCGCCACTTGAATTTTTGACTAGTCAAATTGCTTATGAAGCTCATTTAGGCACCAAAATGGACTTTTTTGCTATAGCTTCTATATGCTTCGAAGAGCCGAATTGGCTCTTTTGCAAAAGTATTGAGGTAGAACGCGTCTTATTCTCATACATTACTGCTTTCACTCGAGAGCCCATGTTTGGCTGGCTACATTCCAACTCAAAATCGCTCTGTCTGTAGAGACCAGTAGCAATGTTGGCTAGTTCTATCCTTATCCGAAATTTCAATCACCCTTACTACTTACGAATCAATGCCATAATTGAATTCCAATAATGTATAAGGAACACATTTGATTTTTCGACCAAAGAACTCGGCAAACAATTCAATGGGCAGACTTACAAGACTGTTTCGATGAAAACATAAATCTCTTCCAACTAGATGTGGATGATGATAAGTCTTGGATTGAACAAACACACCAAATAACAAGGGTTACAGTTCAAGAACAAATCAAATTGATCGAAATAGTTCAGAAAATTAAACAATCATTAGCATCCAGCCAAGGTTCTTCCATTTATACTTATGTTCAAATGCAAAAAAATTCGAAAATGATTTCTGACAATTCAGAAAAGAAAGAAACACAAAAATATCTAGATCGTTTCTCAATGTCCGAGAAATTCTTTTCTCGGACTCATATAGTCCACTCGGTTCTGCTAAAAATAATCTCTTTTCCCCTGATTTTTAGAAAAATGAACATACCCGTATATTCGAGAGAACATAATTCAAATTGGAGAAAAGTGGAATAGTCTTCGCCTCATTTC